CCCGTGGCTGGGCTGCAGCGGGTCTGGAGCAGGGCGGGCAGAAGTGGCAGAGAGTTCAGAGGGCCCAGTCCCTCCCCTGAGCCTTCCTCCATGGCCTCGCCCCAGGGAGCCCTGCTCTGCCTGTCTGGCTCTCACAATGGTCTCAGCCTTTGCCAGTGGTCAAGCTGCCAGTTAGATGGAAGCTCCTGGGGTACATGCAGGCCTCCGAGAGCAGATATGATCACATTCAGAGTCCAGGAATCTGCACTGCATTGAGACTCCTCTGAACCACACAGGGTTTGAACTGAACTGACCATATTCAACCCCTGCTCAGACCATCACCTGGCTTCAGAGCATTCTGGAAAGCATCTCCCTGACGCTGACCCCTGGGACCACATCCTCTGCTTCCCTGCCCCCCATGCCTTTCCATCAGCGCTGCACAGAGTAGCAGCCCAGTGTCTTCTGCAGGCCTCCAGGGACAGGTAACTCCCCCTTCCAGGGGACCCCACGGCAGCCCCGGAGTTACATGGAAGGAGGCTGGGAAGGGGATGGGAGCCAATGTGAACACTGAAGGCACTCCAAGTGGGGCAGAGGGCACTGAGTCCTGGGGGTTTGGGGCCTCCTTCTCTGTCCCTTCCCACTCCTCTGCCACCTCCCACTGGCACTAGCACTGGCACTGCCCAGGGGGGATGAACCCTCACTGTGTCTGGCCAGCTGCTTCCGTGGCAGCTTGTCTAGTGCTTCTGGGCACTGCTGGGGGCAGCAGGGCAGACGTGACCCCGGCCAGGCCCCGACACGCCTCCAGCTGCTACTGTGCCCATGCTGGTCCCCTGGCCCAGACCACCCTCCCTCATTGCCTCTCCCAGTCCTCTTTTCCAGGAAGACAGGGATTCCTCACCTTTTTTAACGAAAGACTCCTTTGGTGATCTGGTAGAGCCTATGGGCTCCTTTTAAGTGTGTGAAATAAATTACATAGGAATTTTGTATAAAGGAAACCATTTAGGATTGAAATAGACTTCTACAAATCTTTAAGACACAGACTTGTGACGCGGCAGCACCTCACAGACTCATGGACGTGTTAAGGAGCAAAAGCTGGCAGCGGGTCTGAACCCCTGAGATACTGAGGTAGGGATGTGTGTAAAGTTCCAGAAACCCACGACCCTGGAAGGTGACAAGAAAGCAGCTGTGACCACTGTTGCGATGATGCTGCTAACATCTGGAGTCGTGCTGCCCACGCTCACCGCTGCAGGAAACGCAGGAGACCTGATAGAGGCTAGTGAAGAGACAGGTGGGGTTTTTTCCCACCTAAGTCCACTGACCGGCCAAACCATCCACGGACTCCTTGGGGGTCTGTGGACCCAGGAGAAGCCCCCTGCTCCGAGGCTTAGCCCTGTCCCTCTACAGTTCCTCCGATGATTCTGACTGCCCAGAGCTCCAAGGTATGTGGGTCGGCCCTTTCCTCCGAGCCTGCCTGACCCTCCCAGCTCAAGCACAAAGCCTGAAACCCCAAAATGCTGATTAGATAGAATTTCCTGCAGCCCCATCCCAAGTTAGGAAAGAGGGAGGGACTGCTGCTTCTCTCAGCCGCCTGGAAGTTGGTGGCTGGACACACACAGCGGGCTCAGGGTCTGCCGGGCTGGTTGCCGTGTGTGGCTAATGCTGACATCTCCCGACACCCTGAGAGTGAGTGCTCCCTCCCTCCTGTGCTTTAGAGCTCTGGAGGCTCCCTCGTTCCCCATCGGGTGCCTTTATGGCTGTGCTGGTTAGCTGCCCTACCTAGTCACTAGCCCCTTGGGCAAGGCAGGGCCAAGCCCGTGGCCAAACGTGCCAGAAGCCACATGCGGGCGCCTGACCAAGGCGGTGCATCCCACCTGCTTCACGTTGTAGCCAGTCTTCGCGCTGGTCTCGATGAACATGACGCTCAGTTCTTTGGCGCGCTGCTCGCCCTCCTCAATGGTTATCTGCCTGGAGGGGAGGGGACGGGCAAATCAGTTCAGTAGAGAAGTAGCCGCTGATGGAGGTGGAGGGAGCCTTAGATGAGGAGGGCCCTTCAGTGAGCCCTAAGCCCAGGGCTGGACCCCACAACTCCCTCAGGACGCAGAGGGCACAGGGCACAGGCCATAGGCAGGACGCCAGCCCCTGTCCACTCCTTCGCAGTATCGTCCAGTTCAGGAGCAGGTCCTGAGGCAGGGGGGCTGCTGTCCCTTACCCACCTTTCCCAGTGTCACCACTGTCAGAGCCTACAGTGCCAGCCACACACCACCTCTCTGGGTGGTCGCATCTGCCCCATTTTCCAAATGAGAACACTGAGGTTAAAAGCAATGGCCCCAAGGTCATGTCCTACAAAGGAGCTGGGCTTTGAGGACATTTTCTTCACTTCAAGGACAGGATTCTAATAAAGCAGCCTCGAATTCAGATGATTCCCTAAACAGTCAGAAAGCCCTCTGTCCATGACCTGTTGCTTTATCTGACCCATGAGATGAGCGGACAAGTGCAGGGAAGGGCAGGGTGGGGAGCCCGGTGCCTGGAGGGCAGCACGGAGCAGCCTCTTCAGGGAAAGTGTCACATGACACAGCAACAGCCCGGGAAACTGTGTTCACGCCTGGGGACCAGGACCTCACACCCCCACCAGCACAGGCGTTTCACAGGGGCAGGGCAGGTGGGAGCCCAGAGGTGTGCCCAGCCCTTGCCAACCTGGAAGGTGGGGCTTCAGAGATGAACACCTGTGGGCAGGCGTCTATTGGTGACTTCAAAGTCTCTGGTGCCCCAGAGGTCCTTTCCAGATGCGCGAGGACAGGTCAGACAGCGTCCTCACCACGCATGCGTCCCAGAACTCCCCGTCCAGGAAGAGCTGCAGCCCCCAGCACCTACCTCTTGTCGGCCAGGTCCGTCTTGTTGCCCACCAGCATGATAATGACATCGCTGCCCCTCTCTGTCCTGACATCATCGATCCACTTAGAGGTCTGCTGGAAGGAGTTGAGATCTGGAGGTGCAAAGTGGGGATGAAACTGCCAGTGAGAGGCAGCCCCGGAGGGAGAGGGGGAAGGTAGGAGGGAAGGGTGGGAAGGCAGTGAGAGCAGGAGCAGGAGGGAGACGGGGGAGCGTGCACCTCAGACACCTGGGAGGGGTGGGGGCACAGGCCTTCCGGAGGATTCATGGAGCTGTGCCCCGGGGCCCTGGAGAGACCCTCACGGTGCTGAGCCACCCTCTGGGGACAGCATTCATGGCGTCTGGAAGGCCACTGGGTCGTGATTGCTACACGGACTAGTGGTTTTAGGGCCCACTTGAGAGACCTGACTTTGGAGGCTCAGAGCAGAGTAAGAAATGGGTGCAGAGGACTTGACTGGGCTGGGAAACATTGTGACAACGTGTGTGGGGACCGCAGAAGCCCTGAGAGAAGCTCAGAGGAACACTGGAAAGGCCAGAGGGGCTTCCCAGAGCTCTGCAGGAAAGAGGAGGGGGAAGGTGGCCCCAGGAGCAGACAAAAGCTAGGCAGTTTCAGGGCAGAAGCCGGGACGGGCCTCGCAGAGGAGCAGTCATAGTGCGAAGCCCAAGGGGAGGGGAGCTCGCTGTCCTGGGAACCTGGGCTTCCCACAGCCTGAACTCCCTTCTGCTTAGCATCAGGCTGCAGGAGTTCCAGCCCCTGCAGGGCCGAGCTCCCAACTGCTCTCAGGTGTGCAGGGAGCCTGCGGTCAGGGGGAGCGGTGGAAGGAGCGGGCGAGCAGAGCTGGAGGCAGCAGGCCGGGGCATCCTCCCACCACAGGCATGACGGCAGCCCACAGGCTGGCCAGGTGTGTGCCAGCACACCTGCCTGGGCAGTAAGGCTCACCCCCAGCCCCACGAGCCTCCCTCAGGGCGGTGCAGTTGGTCTCAAGAACAGCTGTTTTGGCCAGAAGTGCAGCCCATCCCTGGCTCTCCTGGACCTCTCAGGCCTCGCCTCCCTGGGAGCCCTGTGACGAGCTGGGATGTCCGCTGGCAAAACCATGGCTGCCAGGTCAGGGTTGGCCCAGAGACCAGTCTTCTCCCATCTTGACACACACAGAGAAGCCACTTCCTAGGGCTCCCTCTGGCAGCCAGGGCATGGGAGGGCCCCGAGGGCCTGGTGAGCGTCTGCCCCCCTCCACACACGGGCCCCTGCTCTGCGCAGGGCCACCCCAGTCTTGTACATCGGACCTGTTGCAGGAGTCAGGGAGGGTTCAAAGGCAACTCACCCCACCCCCCCGCCGCCCCCAGGGCACCTGCCTTCCTGCATCGAGAGGACCAGCATGTACACGTGCACATGCACGCGCACGCACACACACACACAGACTGCAGCCTGGCTGGGGCTGTGAGTCCCTTGAGCTGCCTTGCGCCCGGCACTCAGGCCCCGCACTCACTTGTGATGTCGTACACCACCACGGCCACCGTGGAGTCCCGGATGTAGCTGGGGATCAGGCTGCGGAACCTCTCCTGGCCGGCTGTGTCCCAGAGCTGCAGTCGCACCTGTCACAGGGAAGGCAGGAGGCTCAGGGGGGCAGTGAAGACATGGTGGGACTGGGGGGATCCAGGGTCTGCGATGCTGGAAGCTCTGGGCACTCATGGGCTCTCAGTGCCCCAGGCGACTGGTCCCAAGGAGCCCTCCCAGTCCTCCCAGGTCTCAAGTCAGGCACTCACCGTACGATCCTCCAAGTACATGGTCTTTGACAAGAAGTCAATCCCAATGGTTGCCTGTTAGAGCAAAGCACAGAAAAGTCAAAACCGAAAGGGCTCAGGGGAAGGGGCAAAAGCTCAGTGATCCAGGCAGGGACCCCACCAGCCAAAGGGGACCCCACGTCAAGCCTCGCGTGGGTTCGCTCTGCTGCTCCCACACCCCCTAACTCAACAGTGAGCCCACTGGCCCCTCTCAGAAGAAGTGAGTCTGAGCTCAAAAAAAATAAGGATAGGTTTTTAGAGAGTGATACCCTTTGGAGAGAAAGAGAAAAGTGCTTTGGACGGGGATGAGAGCGGGCGAGGCGGCTTCCCCAGGAACAACGCCACTGGACCGGGTGTCTCCTGCCCCACTCGGATGGGGGCCTGGAGGAGCAGGAGCTGGGTGGCCTCCCAGCCCCAGGCTGCTTGGCCCCACCTCCCTCTGTCCCTCCCAGCCTCCCCTCCACGCTCCCAAAGTCTATCTGCTCAGGCCTGGAACTCAGGTGCCCAGCTTGGGTTCACTGCTGCCCAGGTGGGAGGGGGTGGAGTGGGAGCAGGGCATCCTGCTGTGGTGTGGGGATAGAGAGCAGCTGGCTTTCCCCAGGGGCATCGCAGTCACCCACAGCAGCATCTCACTGGGAAACCCCACTGGCTCTTTTCTATCCAAACCACACACTGGAAGCCAACTTTCCTTAGCACCCCTATGCCATGCCTATGCCCGCTCTGTCCCAGCACCAGGAGGGGTAGCTGGGCAGAGTATAGTCAGCCTTGTGGCCAGATGGCTGGGACCCACCACTTCCTTGCTGTGTGGCCTGAGGCAGGCCACCCAACCTCTCTGGTGCACCCAGTGTTTGTGACAGGAGCTAAGATGCTGTCAGTATGAAATAGTCACTGTTACGTAGTTAATAATAATGGTGATTCAGACACAGCCTGAATGTCAGGACACTAGTTAAGTCCAGTGTAGTTCATCCAAATGATTAGAAACTTTGGCAGCCATTAAAAATCACGTTCTTCAAAAATATTTAAGCATCTGGGGAAATGGTCCTCAGGTGAAAAAAAGCAGGTTACAAAACATCATGCAGAGTGTGACCCCAATTTGATTAACTGAAGTGGAGATTTCTTAAAGTATTTTTCAGATTTTCTTAGATGTTGAAGTGTAGGGAATACACTGAGGCCTTAACAGAGCCAGTCTCTGAGTACTGGTGGGTGGGTGATTTTTTTGCTTCCTTCATCATACTTTTCTCTGTTTTCTTTTTTTTTTAATTGGGTTTATACTTTTCTCTGTTTTCTACAATGAACATATAATAGTTCAAGAAATATTTTGAAAGAAAAACAAAGTTTAAACAGTAAGCTTAACTGAATGGAAAATTGCACACTGACTTCGGACTACAAAGCCACAACCAGGGAAGACCAAGGAAACAGAGAAAGCCATGTCCGCAGGTCCCCCAGATGACTGTACGCATGTACATGTACCCCCGACTCCTGCCCCTTCCACAAAGGAGTTAAGGTGGCTGTGTCCTCCTGGAAGCTGGCCTTAAAGCAAAGATCGGGAGTGTCATGGAATCATACAATTCTAGAACATGTGTGCTAAGCAAACACCTCAGACACAACCCAGGCCCCTACTTTGGAGACCAGGGAAGTTAAAGCACATGCCTGTATGACTCTGCCAATCAGTGACAGAGCTGGGAGGATCGGCGTTAAAATCTTGGCTTCACTTGGGCTCTTTCAACCCCAGCTTTGCACACCCTCCCTGCATGGTATAGCCACTGGGGAATAAGTCTGGAATTAAGGAGCAGCTTGTGGACTGAGCCTTGTTCCTTAATAGTCACACAATATTCATTTATTGGTATATGTTAGAGCAACAGTTCTTGTCTGCTGATATCCACAAGGAGAAATGTACAGAGCAGGTGGACATGTCTCAACTCCAGTGCTCAGGGGACTCCCCAGGGAGGGCCAGGCTCCTTCTGCAAAGTGACCCCTGAACTAAAAAGCAGGTGCATGAGCTGAGGTTTGGTAGCAGGGACTGCTGGCTGTCCCCCAACATGTAGTCTCCTTTTCTACAGTAACAGGACTCTGAATGTGTAGATGGACCCCTGGCTGCCCCAAATAAAGATGGTATTTCCCAGCTTCCCTTGTAGCTGGATGGCCAAGTTCTGGTCAATGGGATGTGAAGGTGACATATGCATCTTCTAGGATGGGTCCTTCCTGGGGACATGGGGAAGTACCCACCGTTGCCCCTTTCCCTTTCCCACCGCTTGGAATGAAGACAGGTGATAATAAATCACATTGGCCCATTCAGATGACAGATGCATGAGACAGGAAGCCTGAGTTCCTGCCCGGTAGAGCCTCCTCACCAGCCTTGGACTGCTCACACCCAGACTCTGTGCGACAGACAACTGAACTTCTACCTTGCTTAAGCCACTGTTATTTTGGGTTTCTTTTAACATAGGCTAACTCTAACCTGATAAAGCAAACAAGCACGGAGAAGCATATCCCTCAACGGTAGGCAGCAGGGGTTCCTGATCGTGTTCTTGATGATGATATAACAATGACAACTCATTTCACATCATGTGTGCTTCCATGGAGGACAGAGAAATCACCAGATGCTAAGACAAAGACTGTGCCATTTGGATCAAGCCCTAATAAAGCTCAGCCCCGTGGTCTCCATAATCATAAACACCATTTACTGGACACACACGTACTTTATTACCCCTCACAATAGCCTGACCAAATCAGTGGTGATGAGGAAATTAAGGTCAACTTCCTATCGCTCCGGCTCTCTCCCACCTTTATTCCCATTCTCATGCTTCTTCTACACCAGAGAAACACCTGGTTCCTTAACTGCCCACTCCCTCAGACCTGTTCTGGCCGCTCTCCCACCCACCCAGGCTCCTGAGCCACTACAGACCTTTCCACATGAATACAGACAGGTGCCAAAGCAGAGCCACTGTCCTTGGATATGGCTGAGCCATCAGCTCTGCTCAAAAACATCTTCATAAGTTTTGCTTCCAATAATGGCTAAGTAGCTGGCATCAAACTAACCCTCTCCCAGATAACTATTATCAGCTCTGGACAAATACAAGAAATAACAATTTGCAAAACTGACCAAAAACAGGCAGAAAACGGAGGGGTCACAATCTCTACAGGAAGAGAAGAGAACTCAGTGAGATCCTACATTTAACCAATTTTTCCCCGAAGTAGCTTTCTAGTCTCACCAAGTTAGAAGGACTTGGTAAACAACTCAGGCTTTTCATTAGAATCCCAGAAGAGCCGGCTTTGGGAGAAAGCTCATCATCTCAGGACTAAGGAAGGGCTACATCAGAGGACTAAGGGAAAAACCCAAAGAGACCTATCTTAACAAAGTTTAAACATGGTAAGTAAACCCTTTTCAAAAAAAAAAACACGCACACAAAAAACAAAAAGAGATGGGCTGCCTATAATCTAATTACCTATTAAATAAAATTCAACACTCTTCAGAGGATGGTAACAGAATCCAAGAATCTCTAGAATTTATTATTCACAACGTCAGTGGACACAATAATAAAGGACTAAACATAAAGAAGCAGGAAATTCAAGCCATAATCAAGAAAAAACTCAGCAGAAGCAGATCCCCAGGTGACTCATATGTTGGACTGGCAGACAAGGACTTTGTTATAAGTGTGTCAAAAATATAAAGGAAAAGAGTATGATGGGTAAATTTCAAGAGATATATAAAGACTAAGGACCCAGAAATCTGAACACACACACAAAAAACAATATATGAAATGAAAACTCACTAGATTTGAGTAACAGCAGCTGGGACACTTCAGAGGAAAGAACAGTGAACTTGAAGTCAGGCCAGAAGAAACTGTTCAAACTGAAGCACAGATTTTAAAAAGGATGCAATAAAAATGAACAGAACTTCTAGGATGATATAAAATGACCTGATAAACATGTAGTTGGGGTTTTAGAAAGAGAGTAAAAACAGAATTAGCAAAAAAATGTTTTTAAAGCTAGTGGCAAAAAAGAAAAAAAGAGAAAGAAAGAAAGAAAGAGAAAGAAAGAGAGAAAAGAGAGAAAGAAAGGAAAGAGAGAAAGAAAGAAAGAAAGAAAGAAAGAAAGAAAGAAAGAAAGAAAGAAAGAAAGAAAGAAAAAGAAATAAATTAAAAACAAACAAAAAAAGGAGGTGGAGGGTATAGCTCAGTGGTAGAATGTGTGCTTAGCATACCTGAAGTCCTGGGTTCAATCCCCAGTACCTCCATTAAAATAAATAAATAAATAAATAGATAAATAGATAAAAAAATAAATAAGCCTAATTATCTCCCCACCCCCAAAACTAGTGGCCAAATATTTTCTCAATTTGATTAGAAACATCAACCCACAGCTCCAAGAAGCTCAGGGAACCGGAAACAAGATACAGACAGAGAAAATCACACCTACGTAAGTCATAGTCAAACTACTGAAAACTAAAGATACAGAGAAAACCTTAACAGTGATTAGGAAACAGAAAGACACAATACAAACAAAGGAATAATGACAGGAATGCTGATTTCCCTTGGAAACAGCTGAGGACAGAAGACAATGCAACAGTATCCTTAAAGTTCTAAAACCACCACCACCACCACCACCACCACCACCACCATCATGTCAACCTAGAATTCCACAGCCAGTGAAAAGTTCCTTCAACAATGAAGGTGAGGGGGGGAGGAGGCTATAGCTCAGTGGTAGAGGGCATGCTGAGCATGCCCCAGGTCCTGTCCTGGGTCCAATCCCCAGTACCTCTGCTGAAAGAATAAGGAAATAAATAAATAAACCTAATCACCTCCGCCTTCAAAAAATAAATAAAATAAAAATAAAGTAAACAAATCTATTTTAAAAACTGCTAAGAAGAGTAAGTATGAAAAACTAACAAAAAATAAAGTTGAAAGCAATGAAGGCAAAACAAAAACATTTTTGGGTAAGGGAAAGCTGTGATCATTTGTCACCAGTGAACCCTCATTACAAGAAATGCTTTAGGCTGAAGGGAAATTTTACAGATGGAAGTCTGGATCTTTAAAGAA